TTGAATGAACATATTTCCAACAAAACGGTATATTTTTGAAGAGCATGGCCTCGAATTATAAAGTTTTATGAACCAAAGACTTTAATGATATGTCCATCTATAATTTAATGATTTAATTTAAATTTAAATTTAAAAAAGACTCTTCCATTTCTATAATTGTATATTATGTCTCAAGTTTGAAAAACGCCATATTAGTAGTAGAATTTAATTTAGATACGAGCGAGCTTGCAAGCGAGTGCTTAATTAAATGAGTGCCTAGAAAAGTTTACGAGTTGCATACTATAAATTTACTATGACAAATACTTAATATTAAGTCGTAAGCGACATCTACACGAAAATAAAGTAACCATCCCAATAAACATTTTTGACGTAATTTTCACCATTAACATTGCCCGTTATTATTTTAATTAAACTTAACAATTATTGATACTTTAAAATATTAAAATATGATTATTTTAAGAAAATATGTTATACTTTATTTTTTTTTAGCCACAACTTGTCAATGTGTATTTTAAACTTAGTGTCATGGAAACATGTACGATAATGGGTGTTTTAAAGGTGGAAATATAAAAAATATATTGTTTGAACGCAATTTTCTTCGTCACGAGAAACAGAAGTAACAAGCGAAGACTTTGTTGTGTTTCCCTGAATCGCGTCTAAATTCCTCAAATAACTTTCGATGCAAATATAGTCTGCGAATTTTCTTTCAGCGCTTGGTGCCTGAGGTGAATGGTCGTATTTAAATTTGTAAGCGCCCAGCGCCGCACAGCCAGGTATTTTGACCTAAAACGTGGCCAAAAATATTTGAGCACTTTTTATGTATCAAAAGGGTAACAAAATTTGTTAATGACTATTTTTCTAAAGGTGTGATAGTATACTATAGTAGAATTTTTACTAGAAATAAAAAAAATATAAACATATATTCAAAAATTTAATTATAAAAAATTATAAAGTAGCTATAGCTGTAAGTATACTTACATGCAAGTAATACAATATTAAAAATTAAACATACACAGTAAAAAAAGATGCTTTCAGTCAAATACTGTAGGTTTAAACCAAAGCATTCATTGTTTTAAATAGCCACAAATAAATCATCTATTAGACTCAAGATAAGTTTATATTTGTAATTTAAATATATCATGATCTTAGAAAAAGTAAATGCGCGCTTCAAATTAAATGCATGTTATGACTTAGTTTAAAACTAATATATTCTTAAATGGAAAACTTGGGCTTCTTTATGTAAATATATAATGCCTTTGTCGTAAGTATTGGATATTTTTTATAGAAAACTACGATATATTTAATTTAAAAATATATTAAATTTGACGCAAAAATAATGTTTTTTGGTTAAAATTTAACATATGGTTGATTTAAATGTATAATATTTTTGTTGGAGGAAATTCATGCTTTCATATTAAGGCAACGATGTGTTTAATTTAAATAATTTTTATACTTACTTTAAGGTCAAATTTAGATTTAAAGCAAAAATGTAATATTTTTTAATAAATCCTTTTATATAGGCTTTATTTAAATTAAAATGTTTATTTACACACAAAATGTACATACATACATAATGTAGTTTAAAATAATGTAACAAGTTAATTTAAGTAAGAATGTACAGTAGAAACCACTAATATATGAACGTGACTCATCGGTTGCCGAACATATCTCAGACATGCTAGCAGTAATGTTTTACTTGTCTTGTACATTCGATGCAGCGGTAAATGTACTCACACGTAGGTTTTTAAGCATCCGGTCTAAAATGCGCCATCTGTGATGTAAAACTGCCTAGGTGTTGGACAAAGATAGACATATGACGCGTGTCCTAGCTTGTTACTTATATTCAGTAGAGTTCGTGTTTTAGGCATTTATTTTATTTTATTACATAGTAAGGCAACCAACTTTACCGTCGGCCATTTGTTTTTATATGTCATATGATCTTTGTTTTTGCATATCGTGTTTCTACTGTGTGTTTACGGATTAATAATCGTTTTAAACGTTGTAGTGGCAGTGGTTTATATTATGTAACACAGGTAGATGTCGTATAAAAATCCTTACCTAGAAATTCTAGGCTAGAATACAAAAATATTTTTATTATATAAATTTTGTACTAGTATTAGTTTAATACATTCTGAAGAAGCTACTGTGTAGCGAAACAATTGTCAATATTTAATAAATTTCGTGAAACTAACGCAAGTTGTTTTTATATCCACACAATTTAAATATCTTTCACTTTGTACCTGACCTGCGTAAACATTTTTGTTTTTTGTCACCAATTCTGAAATATTTGCGTTTACAGTTAAAAGAATAGTATATTCTGTAACAAGTTTGACGGTTTCACGAGAGGGGAATATGCAATTCCAAACGTGTTTCAGACTATACTTTTTCTACGTTTCCAAAAAATACCATAGACAAAGAATTTAATTGGAAGAAAGTGAGGTTGGATCGGTCTAAAAATTTGTTATTAAAATCAGAGATGTCGCCACGAGTGTACGTTCTGTCATCAGATGATAGAATATTTCATTAAAGTTAAAAGAAAAGTTTATTTATTAATTAGTTTCTAAGAAAATTACATTTTATTTAATTATCGTAGATGTTAATTATGTTAGATGTTAATTATTTAACTTTAAAAGCAAATATATCATAAGTATGGCAACCAACATTACACTCAAGATTTTTTACAAACAGGACACCACTGGACCGTGACCTTCGATAGATTGCTTCGTACGAATGTGTCGGATGAGTCACGTTCATATATTCGTGGTTTCTACTTTACCTTATACACTTACATATATAAATATAGTAATATTACATTAGTTAAAATAAGCATTTTAATAAGTTAATCCTTCTTTGCAGAATTAATTTAAAAACATTACATTTTTGCCTACAGTCTAGTAGACTACAGTAGATAACAGCTTTAAATTCCTTAAGCTTGAATATATTACCATGATTTAAATTGTTCAAGAACTCCACTAAGTAGGTATGTTTTATTTTTTAAAATAAAGAAATAATAAATTAAATAATTAAAAATCCATATTTATTTAATTATAATTATTTTGGTACAAATAATATAAATTTACAAGAGCATCATGAAACTAATCCTAAAATAACAAAAAATAAGCATATAAAATGAAACAAAAGATAAACCTTCGTATTTAAAATTAAACAAAAATAAACAATACGGTATCTTATAAAATATAAGATACCGTATTTTAAATATAACATATTACGATATTAATAATAATAATTTTAAAAGCAAAACAATAACAATACACATATTACTATTATTATTAATAACATATTACCATTGAGTAATACTCAATGATATTACCTACCTTTAAAAACGGGGATTAGATCTTCCAAATTACATTGTTCTAATAGTTCTTCCATATTTTTGCACAAACTTTTATAAACTACACCAGAGGAAACACATAAACGAAATGGCGACTAAAAAGAATACCGATACCGAAGCGAAACAGTTTCTGGTAACCCATTGGTTCTATAAGTCACGTGATACTAACAACTCATCAGTTTCTGGTAACCCATTGGTTCCATAAGTCACGTGCTACTAAAATCTCGCGATAAAATATTTTAAACATACCATATATTTAAAATAAAATTATATTTTTAAATCAATTATACATATTATTTGTTTGAAGAATTATAATTTTAGTTCAAAACGAAAATATTACTTTGACTTAAAACTCAAGATTGGTATTTTAGTATGAAATAAATCATATACTTAAATCAAAAATAAAATTGTATTAGATTAAATACCTTTATATTCTTAAAATCGAAGAAAAATATTACTTAAATCAAATATTTCAATATTTAGCTAAAGAAGCTTTTATTTGATAACGAAGATTTTTTATTTCTTGGAAAAAGAAAATTGTAAAGCTTAATTGAAAGATATATTTTTAAACTAAATAATTGATTATTTCACTCAAAAATATATTTCCAATTATAGCAATTTTCTTAAATTAAGAATATTAGTTTTTACTGTGTACCTATATAAATTTTTTGTGCCCTTTAAAAAATAAAAAATTTATCGATCTACCTAAATATCTTATAAGATCGCACTAAAGTGTCTGTTTTCAAGGGTTTTTCCGTGATGTGAAAACTTGTGAATGTTTTTGATGGCTACGTTATTCTAGATGTCCTGAAGTTTAATAAAACGTGGATCAGATGCCTTTGCAAGGTGTTGCATATATTTAAAAATACAAATGTTTGTTTAAAAAGACGAGAAAATATTAATTTTAGATGAATATAGTACTCGATATGAATAAATAAAGTTATAACACAAATAAAATGTTGCTCAAAATATTGTACATACCTTGATTGACGATATCCATATCGACTTTTTCCACCATAATCACTTTTAACATAAGAAACAACACGGCGAAAATTTGTGTTTCTGTGGTGTCGCAAAAGAAGACGTACGATTTAAAGGAGCGCTAAGTTCTAGCTGTTGCTACCGCGGACTGGGATGGCCAATTCAGGTAGCAACTACACCAAAAGATAACCACTTTATCTATCTGCTTAGATCTAGCAATAAAAATTAACAAAATTGACTTTTGGCCACGTTTTAGCTCAAAATGACTGTCTGTGCGTCGGGTCGAATTCCATCAATTTCGGTATGCCACTGTATGCATCTAGGTGATGCATTATTTATTACTTGGAGCCGGTTCGGGTTTGTTGGTCAAGTTTACTTTAAATTATGATTTAGTAAACGGGAAATTGTTTGTTCGAACAGTGAGAACCTAACGGGTTTTTAATGCATATAATGATTGTTTATGGTACACGAAATATGTTTATCAAATATCTAGAGCCGGCCCTGCAGCTTCAGATATCATGTGGGGTTTCGCAGCCTTCATATACTTTGGTCTTATTAGACTCGCAACTAGAAAAGCGCATGCGCGCTCCGCTAACGCTTAGCCGCGGTTGCTAGGGACATGTGGTGTTTCTCACCACTGAAATGAACCGTTCTGTCAGTCTGTGATATGTCGGGCTCGCAACAACACGTCGCTTCTGCAAGCAGTAAAGAAAAACGCAAAAAGGGATGGAAACAAGTGGTTTATAAGAGGAAGAAGATTAAAATGGCGCGGGTTAAAGGAGAGAAATATGAAAATTATAGAGGAAACATTGTTGAGGCTAGAACACAGGGTAAACCCTGTGGGTAAGTTAATGGAAAAACAGGCTCTAACCTGACTTATTGATACATTTCCAGTTGTAAATCTCAATGCTTCACAAAAGTACCAGAGGATGTACGCAACGAGCTCTTCAAAAACTTCTACAATCTCGAGACGAAAAACGAGCAAGATTCCTATCTTCAGGGCCTTATAGACTACAGACCCATTTCCAGAAGACGTCCAAGAGTTGACGCTAATAAAGCCAGACCTAAAATGTATACTTTTAAGTACAACATTGTGACGAAAGAAGAAAAAATTAACGTTTGTAAGGCTGCGTTTTTGAGTTTGCATTGCATATCATCGGACAGAGTTAGAAGGGTTTCAGATTTGCTTTTGCTCGGGAAGATTCCTGAAGATAAACGAGGGAGGAAAAGTCCAGAAAAGGAAGTTGTAGTGCTTATACCTTAGCACCTTGTTAACTATTAAGTTTATGGTTAATAATATAAAGTTAAAATTACTTGCAGATTTATTTATATACCCTGTACAGTAGATCAATATGAATGACAACTTAAAATGTCAAAATACATATACCATTGTATTTTAAATGAGCTCTAATGTAAAAAACAAGAAAATTCTTCAATTCATTTCAATAAAAAGTAAATAAAAATGTTAATAGTTGTTGAAGACATAAGTAAGTAACCAGTTTTCTATTTTGGTTTAAACCTGCGGTTAACTAAATATTGTTTATCGAGACCAAACATATCTACTTTATTTATATAAATAAACACGACATAAATTATTGCATATTAATTTCCTGCTAAATTTAAACACACATATTCCCCGCAAAGCATTGCGTGTGACTTTCTTATTAATTAGTTTCAACATTAATTACGTTCATTAGTCGCTAAATTTATTATTTAAATGATGTACGAAATGAGTTTCAATTAGTTAGCTTGGTCAACAAGTGCTTATTGGTGTGAATTTAGTTTATACACCATTAAAGATTTTAGGAGATACAGAAAGCTCTCTCAACTTCGAAATCAATTTTTTTTCAGAAACTACTAACACAAAATGAACGGCACCAATGGCCACCACGCCAACGGCGATTTGAACGGCTGCGGGGACATTTTGACGCAAAATCAGCAGAAGGGATGTTGGACGATAGGTCTCATCAACTCCAAATTCCGCTACCTCACTGCCGAAACTTTCGGTTTCAAGATAAACGCTAATGGCACCTCTCTTAAGAAGAAACAGATCTGGACCTTGGAGCCTGATTCTGCAACTGCCGGAGAAAGTAAGTACCATTCAGAAATGACCCTTTTATACTATCGGGAAGGTTTTTTGACCAAACAGCGTCTACATATCTTCAGTGTAAAATCATATAACCCAACAAAATGTGTTCTAGCACTCTTAACATTATTTACATTTGCATATAAACTTCCCCTTTCATAAAAAGCCACTTATATCTTGAATTCACATTCTTTAGACAGTTATATTTAGCGGATAGCTTCATACATTTTTTATAGTTTGAATCGATCGGGCATCTTCTTTCATCAGGATCACACATATTCCTTCAATCTATCGCTTTTTTACATCGTAAACACACATGAGTCATTTTTATTTGTCGCCAAAAACCTTTAACGGTCTTACTACCGCTTCTTTCTTGATTTTATACATTTCTTTACAATTTATGACATGTTGCCGTAAGACCAGAAAGATGAGGAATGTAGACTTGAAAAATCGTGATCGATTAAAAAAGACAAAACAAGGAATCGCAAGTATATTACTTCGTGTGCAGTATTTAAATAGTTTTTATTAAGTTGGAATAATTATTTGATTCTTGTTAGTATTGTTCATACAGTTACCGGCAAATTCTTTTTTCTCGAAAAAATCCTTGAACAGGTCGATTTTGATTTTCAATTACGCAGATTTTTTAATAGGGTTTTAATAAAATTAAAAAGAAATATAAAAGAAACTTCCTTAAAATATTTCATTTCAAGATTAAACAAACTTTTTCAGTTTATTATTGTTTTTGTTCTACAAATAGCAAGTGTTGATGTATGGATGTTTTTTATTTTATATTTTTTTTGTTAGCATATAATTTAAAACAAATATTCACTACTAGACCAGTGCAGAAGCCTTTAAAAATGGTAAAAAGAGAAAAAAAATAACAGTAGGATGAAACCCATTGGAAAAGGAGGGGAATATAATAAAAATTAAAGGAAAAATAAATTACGGGCGATCTGACTTCGGGAAGTGGGAGGGGGGGGTTTAAGGGTAAAAAATGGTTTATCTCGATTTCCGGCAAAACTACAAGTCCTATGGAAAAAAGTTAAATGTCAAAGTTGTAGGTAATAAAAAGATCTACAACTTTTGTATTTACAATTTTTTCACATAACCTCAAAATTTATGTGAAAAATTCAAAAAACCAAGTTTTTGGTTTTTTATTTTTATCTTTTTCAAAAAAAAATTTTTTTCCACGAAATTTGGTGAAAACTTACCTTTTTATGTCCCAAATACACTGTAATTTATTTGATTTGAAATATTTATTATTTCGCCTTATTATTATTTTTTTATCAAAAAAGCACCCTAATTTTCAATCGAAAATTCTCGCGTCAAAATATCAGCTTTTTTCAAAAAGTCGGTGTGCTTTTTGTTCGATGAACTCTCTACTTTCTGATGGTGTAAAAAAAAATATACATTACTATGGTAAATGTTCTCAGAAAATACAAAAAATATTATAATGAATAACGTAATCAGAATGAAGTATCTAAATTCAATAGTATGATTTACATGTATTTTTATATTTTATGAGATTTTCTGACATAAATGTTATTAGAATTTAATAAATAAACTTTTTAACTAAAAAAAATTGCAACAATCACATTTTTTGATGAAATTGTACATAATGATTAAAATAAATTTTCGAATTCGAGTTTTTTTTCGTTATTCATTATAATATTTTTTGCATTTTCTGAGAACATTTACCATAGTAATGTATATTTTTTACACCATCAGAAAGTAGAGAGTTCATCGAACAAAAAGCACACCGACTTTTTGAAAAAAGCTGATATTTTGACGCGAAAATTTTCGATTGAAAATTAGGGTGCTTTTTTGATATTAAGTCAAAATAAGGCGAAATAATAAATATTTCAAATCAAATAAATTACAGTGTATTTGGGACATAAAAAGGTAAGTTTTCACCAAATTTCGTGAACAAAATTTTTTTTTTGAAAAAGATAAAAATAAATAACCAAAAACTTGGTTTTTTGAATTTTTCACATAAATTTTGAGGTTATGTAAAAAAATTGTAATTACAAAAGTTGTAGATCCTTTTATTACCTACAACTTTGCCATTTAACTTTTTTCCATAGGACTTGTAGTTTTGCTGGAAATCGAGATAAACCATTTTTTACCCTTAAAACCCCCCCCCCCCCCTCCCACTTCCCGAAGTCAGATCGCCCGTAATTTATTTTTCCTTTCATTTTTATTATATTCTTCTCCTTTTCCAATGGGTTTCATCCTACTGTTATTTTTTTTGGTTTCAAAAATTATCGACCCTGGTCTATACTAGATGTAAAAACTTTTAGTTGAGCGTTCAGTGAAGTATCTGTCTCTTAAGCGTTCCTCCAAATATATCGAAGTATTTAAATATGGGCCATTTAACGGAAACAGAGAATTGAAGTTTTAATTATCATAGGATGTGTATGGAACTATATAATAACATGCAATTGTGCTATATGAAAAAAAAGTAAAGCTTTTATAGAGAAAAGTTAAATATTATACATACACAGAAAAAAATCTAACATAGTACCAAGAACAGCGCTGTTATTGAATGCATTAAAATTGAAGCAATCGAAATTGTTATTTGCTCAATTAATTACTATTAAACCAAAATAGGGAAATATTTTACCTAAATGTCAAAGAATGTATTGCGTTAAATGTATACATAGTATACATACTATAACGTTATTAAATAAATCAAATTAGTATTTAATGCAATAACATTCTAACAAATAAATATCAATATAAATATCAATAGATTTAGAAGCGATAACTTTTGTTGTTAATTTAAAAACAGTAAACGATTATAAACCAAGTGCTAACTACCTATTGGTATTATAAGAACTGTTATTCAGGAATACGGATTACAAGATCCCATTGGTTTAATGGCTCACCCATTCATGATATGCTAGCGTTTTTTCTGTGTAGTTTTGGCAATTATCGTTGTAAAAAGTGCTAAGGGTTGTATGTAGCTATTCACATTAAAAGGTGTCACTAATTCTTTTGTAGACTTGCAGGTTATTGTATAAATATAAATTGCAAAACTCGTGTGTTGAAAACCCCTATTAGTTAAAAAAATATAAACCTCAAAATACTTTTTGTACCTAATTGTCATAGCTTGCATAAACTCACTTTGTAATTGTTAAGGTTTATGCGATTGTGCTTTATGGGAAAATGTAAAGCTTAAGCTTGAACTTTTCTCCATAAAATTTTATGGAGAAAAGTTCAATATTATCCATAGTTTTGGCAATTATCATATATTGCAAAAACTCGAAGATTTTTGGCAATTATCGTATGTTGCAAAAACCCAAAGAGTTGTATTTACATTAAAAGATGTCACTGATAGTTTTGGAGAATTGTATAAATACTTATTGCAACACTTGAATGTTAAACAAACTTAAACTCAACTTAAAATACAAATATTGCATTCGACTTTTGGCAATATACGAATATTGTATAAAGTATGGCAGAACTGTCTAGGGGAAACAAAAAACCTAGTGTTTTACCAGAGACAACACCTTAAAATCCTTAAATCTAGTGTTTTTTGTTTCCCCTAGACAGGTTAGCCATACTTTTTACAACATTCGTATATTTCCAAAAGTTGAATGCAATATTTGTAAAGTTTAAGTTTTTTCAACATACAAGTTTTGCAATAAGTATTTATACAATATTTGCAAGTCTCCAAAACTATTAGTGACGTCTTTTAATGTAAATACAATTTTTTGGGTTTTTGAAACATACGATAATTGCCAAAACTCTTTGAGTTTTTGCAATATATGATAATTGCCAAAACTATGTATACATAATGTATACATAATATTATTATGTATTTAACTTTTCTCCATAAAAGCTTTACTTTTTTCCATAAAGCACAATCGCATAAACCTTAACAATAACAAAGTATGCAATCTATGACAATTGTAAAAAGTATTTTGACTTTTATATTCTTATAAGGTTTTTCAACACACGAGTGTTGCAATAACTATTTATACAATAACCTGCAATTCTACAAAAGTATTAGTTACATTTGAAATGGCACATTTTATATCGAATTTGTTCCATACTATTTGGCACCCGATCTTACCGCATTAATTAAAGTTTAATTTAAAAAACGTTTATGTAGAAAAAGTGCACGTTTAATTTTATTTCCAGGCCTGATCTACCTGAAATCCCACCTGGGAAAATACCTGGCAGTCGATTCATTCGGCAACGTTACTTGCGAAAATGAGGAAAAGGAAGCCGGAAGTCAGTTCCAGATCAGCGTGGCCGAGGACGGAAGTGGCAAGTGGGCATTTAAAAACGTCGTAAGAGGATACTTTTTGGGCGCTTCTTCCGATAAACTTACCTGTACTGCCAAGGTAAACCCAATATTTGCAATTGTATTTAGGAAATAACACTTTCTGAAATATTCGTCAGGTACCTGGTGCAGAAGAATTTTGGCACGTGCATTTGGCCGCCAGACCACAAATGAACCTGAGGTCGGTAGGACGCAAGAGGTTCGCGCATTTGTCCGAAAACTTGGATGAAATTCACGTTGACGCCAACATCCCTTGGGGAGAAGATACTCTTTTCACCTTGGAGTTCAGGCAGGATGAATCCGGGAAATACGCCATCCACACTTGCAACAACAAATATCTTTCTTTGTCTGGTAAGTGTTATATTATCGACTATTTCCCTCGTCTTAATATCCACCAATCACAAACGCGCAATTTTGAATTACAAATGGTTTCTAGGTGAAAAAACTGTGTGACAGCACCTGTCAGCAGTTTATTCGAGTTTACCCGCGGCAAAACTTGACAGCTGTTGTCACCAAAAATTGCAATTTATATTTTAATTGTTAACTGTTACTCATGAAATAGTCTTGTTAAATACCATTCGGGCATCTAATTTTTCCTGTGAAAAAAATCGAAAAAACACAATGCTAAGTAATATTTTTTAACAAAATGCATTCGTGCAGGTGCAAAAATCCTCCTCTTCGACTCGGATTTTTGTTGCCACCAGCACTCATGCTTTTTGTTAAAATATTACTTAGCAACGTGTTTTTTCGATTTTTTTCGGAAAAATTAAATGCCCTTATGATATTACTTACGAAAAATCATCAAGTATTATTATCGTTTTATTTGTTTTTTCAGGAAAACTTCTCGATACATGCAACAAAGACTGCCTGTTTACTGCTGAATACCACAGCGGTGCTTTAGCTTTACGGGACCGCACCGGAGCCTACTTGGCTCCGATCGGTTCCAAAGCCATCCTGAAAACTAGATCCAACACAGTCACCAGAGATGAGCTCTTCTCTTTGGAGGATTCTCTACCGCAAGCCAGTTTCGTGGCCGCATTGAACTCCAGATTTGTTTCCGTCAAACAAGGTAAGCGAAACTTAAATTTTACAAACAGTACTCTTAATAATTATCTACAGCGCGTCGTTACTCAACCAATATGCTTAGCTAATCTAAGAAAATAAACGATAAACAAGTGTTAGTTGAGTAGAGGCCAATTATCTACGTTAAGTATGGTCAGTAGCGGTAGGGAGAACGGGTCAAAGTCAAGGACGTTGCCTTGACTGTTGTAGAAATGGTCGCCACTTTCGAATAACTCTATACGAGTACTGTGTGTTTGCAGTTGATGCAGGAAAGCATGTAACTATCTGCTCACGTATGTTGTACTTGACTTTATCGAGAGTAAAAGCGATTCTATGCTCGCGATAGAGATTTAAATTTTTTTTAAAATTCGGATTGTATTTATGTACATTGTCACATCTTTTCCCCAGAGAGCCATATGTGGTTAAAACTTGGCCGAGAATTGCCCTTTTAGCTTTGAAATAGTTTTGCCAATAAATGTACAATATAGGACTTAATATTCCTATGATTTTTGTGCAATCGCGATGGCCAACAATAAATGATAAAATTGTGCCCAATAATATGCAAAAGCAGTTTGGATTAAGGGCCGGTTTATCGATGTCCGGTTAAAGTTGCAGTTATTTATCTGGCATATAATCTCCATGGATACCATTGTTCTCACAACATTGGTTTAATTTTGGGAATGTTTGGGCATTGAAAAACGATGACAAATGCCTGATGTTTATTTGGGCAAATATTAGGCTTTTGAAAAATTTACCAATGACATGATATTGGTACATATTTAAACAAATCCAGAGTATTTACAAATATTATAATTATATTTGAAAGAATATTACTAAAAAAGCTTTTTTCGTTTACATTAAAATTTATTAATATTATTACTGTTAATATTAGTATTTGAAATTTGGGTAAATAAAACGCTTTATATATATAATATATATACAGAGTGACCCATTTGTTTGGGACTCACCCCTGTAAAATCTTTATTTATTGTGCGATTTTAACCGGATTTGTTTTAAAGTGTAGATCTTGATAAACTGTATTTTTGGAGCAAAAACACCATATGTTTACAAAATACAAGGCCTACTATGTCAGTTTTTAAGAGTAAATTTTTAAGAATTCATGTTAGCGATTTTTTTAAACAAAATCTAAGCACGGCACTGGATTCCGCACCCCTCAAAACGACCTTATACTAAATTTTATTGAAAAATTTTAAGTAGAAAATTGCACAATAATAACTACAAAAATGTATTCTGTCAAGTAATCAATGAAATAAAATTAAACTAATAGTAACATGTTACTTTTACTATAAGTTTAATTTTTTAACAATGTTTTTTTCATGGATAATTTGACAGAATACATTTTTGTAGTTATTATTGTTCATTTTTCTACTTAAAATTTTTCAATAAAATTTAGTAAGGGTCGTTTTGGGTGGCAAATCCAGTGCCGTGCTTAGATTATGTTTCAAAAAATCGCTAATATGAATTCTTAAAAATTTACTCTTAAAACTGACGTAGTAGGCTATGAGGCGCCGTTTGTGTCAATATTAAAAGTGCTAAATAAACTTATTTTGTTTTATAAATAATTAATTATATGCTTTACCAAATAATTTTTTTATAAAATTATTTTTTTTATAAAATAATTTTTTTTTAAATGATTTTTTTATAAAATAATTCTTTTTTATAAAATTATTTTTTTTTTATTTTTAGTTTTGTTTTAAGAGAATTGATTTATTTATTTTAATTTGTTTTCAAGAGAATTATTTTATTTATTTATTTTAGTTTTTAACAACTGCTTTCTTATAAAAAACGTTTAAACATAAAGAATTCTTGTTAAAACTAAAAATCAAAATAAATGTAGATAAAAAAATTAATGAATTAATGAATAAAAATAATAAATTATTATTTTCAATTGTTTCCCCAAATTGCGTCAAACAAAAGCCCAGTCCGTTATAAAATTGTATCTGGGGAGGGGCGTTCGGGTTTACTCGGGTTTACTCGAGTGTCTACAAACAAATAGAGATGTTAATTAATTAATTTATAAATGCGCCCGTCGTCTTTTATTAAATAATTTTTGATTCGAATTGAAAATTATTTTATAAAAAAATAATTTTATAAAAAAAATATTTTATAAAATTTTTTACAAAAAAAAAAATTATAAAAAAATAATTTTATAAAATTTTTACAAAAAAAAAATTGTAAAAAAATAATTTTATAAAAAAATTATTTGGTAAAGCATATAATTAATTATTTATAAAACAAAATAAGTTTATTTAGCACTTTTAATTTTGACACAAACGGCGCCACATAGTAGGCCATGTATTTAAATTAAAATAAAACAAATTAAAAAAAAATTTGTTAAAAAACAAAAAAAAATATAATGAAATAATATTTTAAATAATAAAAATTTATTGGTTTTTATGAAGAATCCTAAGAAAAGTTTTTTAATTTGTTTTGTAAAATAAGGCTCTTCTTTGATTTCTGGCACGTTGTTGTCGTTTTTCAAGGCCACGTCATAGGACCTCTGAAACTTTACTGCCCCAGGAGAAGAAAATTTCTTGTGTTCATGTAAACCCCTAGAAAAAATACCTTTACACGTGTTATAATATTATGAGACAAATAGAATTGCGATAAGGCTATCAAGAATTATGTTTTATTAAACATTAATAACTTATTGTAAAATTGTTTGTGATTGGTAACTTTATATGTTATGAAGAACTTCTAAAATAAAAAAAGAAATCAATATTTAAATTCAATGAAAAAACTACAATTACCTTGCTCACTTCAGGCACTATAGATCTTTAAACCCAATAAATCCTCTTTACTCTGTGACATATAGGTAAAAAAAATATTTTTAAATGTGTAAAAGCCTTGTACGCATAAACACTGTTTACCTAGAAAAAGGCAGTTATTTTTTCACTAAAACTTTATGCAACAAGATAAAAATCTGTAACAATGAAAAAAAAGTCATAATATAGAACTACCAATGTAAATGTAAATTACTTCAAAATCAATGAGGGAATAATAACTTCGAAAAGTAAGAAATTGTATAATAATTGAATTATTTATTAAAAACTTGAAAACATAACCTTAATTACTTAGGTACTCAAAATTTAAAGCCGTTTAAAACTTAAGACACGTTTAGTTAGTGCAGGGATGATTATATTTTTTGTAATAACTTTCACACAAGCACTTTTTGTAGGGAAGGTTTTAAAATATTAATTTACTTTTTATGACCTATAACTCGCTATTGTGCATAGTAAACTGATTCTTTTTCCATGCTGATCAATTATTTGCCTAAGATGAATATAATTTACAGCTGCAATAAGAATAAATCTTATACGTCAGTTAGCAACTTGATGGTATAATGTTCAGTTTATGCTCCAAGAAATTTCAATTGTGGTATAAGAATTGAATTAAAATACCGGCAGATTTTCTGCCTCTATAGTTAACTTAATTTCCTGTATTTACTCTTTATTATACACATTAAAATTTGATTTTGATCTTCTTCTCATTTATAAGTTTTGGTAACAGGATTATTCTAGTACTATACTTTGAAATTGACCTCTTTCATTATCATACAAACTTTCATGACATCTGACGATGATGATCTTTTTTTGATGATTAAGCTTTAATAACCAAATGTTAATTATCGCTAACTAAAACTGTCTAACAGTAAAATTCAGCTATTCAGATATTTCGCGCTTCATCCACAGTCTTTCACAAGAGCACGCTTTGCAGATGTTGTCGGCACTCGATTAATATTGTTGGCCTGGAGGTCCAAGGAGGCAGATTTTTAACACCTTGACCCGGATGTCAAGACGCGAAGACGCCGAGCGTTAATGCGATTCCGTTATCTCTGTCTCTTCATGGATGGCTTAAACAATATTATATTATTTAATTATTTATCTAGAAAAATAATATTCTTGTTGAAATAATAAAAATGATCGATGAAAACATTGTTTCAACCAATCGTTTGCAAGCATACCTTTTATTTCCTGTTCATGACATTGCATTCACTCTTTGCAATGGTGATTCAGATCTTCACATCTCACATACTAATGAGAGTTTTTGTTGTTTGTATTTATTATTGAAGAGAATTTATATTCTTTAACGAAACAGATTTATGCACGCAAAGAAATTTGTTGTCAAAATTAATATAAATATATTAATCTTCTTTACAAATTGCGTTGAAAATTGTAATACACATTCAAACAAAATTGAAAGAAATTTATTTCTATAACTTTCACACCTAGAACAGCAATTTGTAGTTGCTTCACCTGGCTAAATCCCGGAAGGGAAAGGCCAAAACACTCAAAAGAAGAAGTAGTTGCTTCACATATTTTTATATGTGCATTTTAGTCATGTACTTGTTGCGTTTGTCACTATAATCTGGGTCCAGAAAATGTTATAATTGTGTGTACATAAATATTACAATTTATGGTACAAGATGACAAAACTTTGTAGAGTTTTTTTTACAACAATTACTAAAAAAGTATTTTTCCAAATTGTCGTAAAAATAAAAGAAGTGTTAAACACTGCCGTCAAAAATGACACAATATTGTAGTAATTATTCAAGCAACGACCAAAATTCATTTCTGCAAATTCTGGCATATTATAAGGCTATATTTGTACATTACGTATAAAAGGTTGTTGCATTTTTAATGCAACAAAATAAATTTGTTCATACAAAATTTTAAATAGTGACAAAGAAGTAAGTCTATCTTCTGAAAATTTAAAGAGAAGATTTCCAAATTTGGATGAAAATCAATTCACACTTGAAGAAGTTAAGGAATTATTAATGGAATAAATGTTAAAATTCAAATTATGTTTATTTATTTCTTAAAGTGTGCTTAAGATAGTTAAAAAAACATGTATTTATGTGCAATAAAAAAGTTATTGAATTATTTTCGAAATCGTTTCACCGCGAATTATTATTAAAATATGGTTAATTATACCTATTAAGTCTTATTTAACACAGTAAAAAATAAAAAAATAAATATTTCTTTG